GTTTTCTCTTTTCCCTCTTTTTTGTATGTTCTTTTTCACAGTTTATTTTTTTTTAACTTTTCCCTTTTTCTTTTTATTATTATTATTATTATTAGATTTTTTCATTTTTTATTCAATTTTTTTACGTCACTAACATTAAATAAAAATTCTACTAACTAAAATTAATATATTTACATAACAGCTACGCATGTTATCATTATAAACTAAATATTAAAAATTACATGACTTAGACAATAATTTTACTTAAATATAAAATAAACTATGGGTTATTTAAATATAAAATAAATCATGGTTTGAAATAATAATTTCATACTATATATAATTATACAAAGGATCTAAAAATAAAGTTGATATGAACGTTTGAACATACTTCATACAATAACATGAATAAATATTTATGGTTTAAACACATGCGAAATTTAACAACTTTAATATATATTGCAATTCATTCTCGCATTATCATGAGATAAAACTAATACAAAATAAAATTAGTATTACCTCTTGTGGAAATTATTTCACAAAAAGAAAGAATTTAGGAACCACGAACTTGAAACCTCGAACTCCACTATTTTTAGTTGTGCTTTTCTTTGTGTGTGTGTTCTTCGGAAAAAAAAATCTTTGTTGTTTCTTCCTTTTTTTTTACTTGCAGATTTTTTGTTTTCCTCTTTTCTTTTTTTTCTCTTCTTATTTTTTTTTCTCTCCGTTGATTTCTGTCATTTTTTTTCGTTGATTTCTTTTCATTGTATGTATATAGTAGTAGTAATAGTAGTGTACGTGTGCAGTGTGTACGTGGGGGGAATGGGGAGTGGGAGTGGGAGTGGGATCGTGGGTTTGTGTGTGTGTGTGTTAATTTTTTTTAATAAATATTAAATATATATATAAAAATGATAATTATATAATTATTAATTGTTTTGAGTAAATAAATAAATAAAGCTAAATGGGTAATTAAAACAAAAAAGACATAATTAAGAAATATTAGTTTATTTAAATAATAAATGTAATATATATATATATATATATATATATATATATATATATATATATATGTATGTATGTATGTATGCATAAACTTATCTAATAAAAATTATATTTATGTTGTTTATTCTTATATCTTTTAAATAAACTTAATGACGATAATAAAATATATTGATAAAATTATTTATGCTCTAAAATTGGTGTTGAACTTAAATTCGGTTAAAAATTACGTGTCTACAGTTTGCCCCTCTTTGACTGGAAACACAAAGAGTTTTTCAGACAAAGAAGTAGACAAAGTGACAAGTTTTGACCGAACTCTTATTTGAAAGACTAAAATTTGTGCAACCGAGTCCTTGTTTGGACATCCTACATATCCCGGGTGATAAGGGAATCAGGCCACTTGTAGTTCGAGGAGATAAAGTGAGGAGTTGGAAGTTAAGTGAGGTTCCATCGAGGCTCCAGATGGCGGCTCTTATCTTTACATAAAAATTGAAAACTATTAGTCAAAAGAAAAACAAATGTACAAACTTCCATCCACGCAGATTTTCTTGAATTTTGACTTTAAGATATCACCTTGATTTTTGAGTGAATATCTTAACTTAGAATTGGAATGGAGGCTGAATTTGCCTCTTAGACGGAACTTTTGACATTCTTCAAACTGACAACTTGAAAAATACTCTGGAATGAATGCGTGTTTTCTTGATCAAAAGTTGACTAGTAAAAGATATGTGGAAGTCAGGTTGCTACATGCATTGAAGAAACTAATTCTAACCATCATGGAATTGATTATTCTAAAAAATTTGAAACTTTGTTCTTGAATTTCAAATCCCGGTCTCGCTTGAGAAAACCTGAGAACCACCACAAACAAAAAAACAATAAATAAAATTTTTGCCCCAGTTTTCACTGGGAAAATTTTCTGAGTTATTAGCAAATATAAATATAAAACATAAACTTCGGCTAGGAAGTGTTTATTTCAGGAGAAAATAAAACTAAAAACCTAGACTAGGAAGTGTTAATCCTACGATAAAGTAATCTAATCCCATTATCCAGGAGGGTCCTGCTAGTCCCATTATCCAGGAGGGTACTGTTAGTCCCATTATCCAGGAGGGTCCTGCTAGTCTCATTATCTAGGAGGGTCCTGCTAGTCCCATTATCCAGGAGGGTCCTGCTAGTCCCATTATCCAGGAGAGTCCTGCTACTCCTATTATCCAGGAGGGTCCTGCTAGTCCCATTATCCAGGAGGGTCCTGCTAATTCTATTATCCAAGAGGGTCCTGCTAATCCCATTATCCATGAGGGTCCTGCTATTCCCATTATCCAGGAGGGTCCTGCTAGTCCCATTATCCAGGAGGGTCCTGCTAGTCCCATTATCCAGGAGGGTCCTGCTAATCCCATTATCCAGGAGGGTCCTGCTATTCCCATTATCCAGGAGGGTCCTGCTAGTCCCATTATCCAGGAGGGTCCTGCTAATCCCATTATCCAGGAGGGTCCTGCTATTCCCATTATCCAGGAGGGTCCTGCTAATCCCATTATCCAGGAGGGTCCTGCTAATAAAGTTTTCAACAAACTAATAATATCAATGAAACATTGTGAATGCTATCTTCATTATTTGGAAGTTCCTTCAAGGAGAAAAATAATAATAATAGTAATAAATAAAATAAATATTCCAACATTCATGTAATTTCTATTTTGATATATATTAGCCAACTTTCATATAATATTCCATAAGTCTTCATTGTAGGGTTTCCATTTCGCTCGCTGCAGACTAGGTTGAACATCTAGGTTCCTCGAATCCTTAATCTTGAAACAACTTGTGTCCCTGCTTCAACAAAGAAAATTTGTGAGTTTGAAAAGGTGGTGGTTGGTTTGTGGTTCCATCTTTCGACAAGGGCGGCTCAAACACTTATGACGCTTTGGTTGTTTCCAACGTTCAATACTTCTTACTGATTGATTGTACTTTCATCCACATTTGCTTATTTTGCGACCTAAATCCAATGTCTTTATCTCATAACACTCATTGTTTAGACTTCGAGGATCAGAGAATTTTCGAATTCAACACTTGAAGACAGATTAACTCAGTAGCCTGATGCTTTTCCTAGTACCAATTAGAGACTTGGTAGCGAGTCTTGAAATTCCTTCATAGTTTTTTTTTCGACAAAGACTTGACTCAAATACATACCAAAAAAGTGACGAAAAAAAAGAATAAGAAAATTACGAACTATATGAGAATAAAAGAAAAGATTCGATGAAGACTCTTTTTTTTGTAAGAAGAAGAAAGAAAACTTATCTGAGTGTGGGAGCCGAGTCTATTGATCATGCCATGCAATTTGAATTGATTTCCAGACTTGGCTATCCAATCTATTCATTAACCATTATTGATTATTCAATCTTGATGTGGAATCCCAACACTTAATGAAGCCATAAATAATCTGAACCCTTATAGACTTTGTGGTATTCACGAAGGTCTTTTCCGCTAAAACTCAATCATGTTAATTGCTCCAGCTCACGTCTGCCTTATGGTGCATGTCAGGATTTTCACCAATAAGACTCTCTTATATTCAACTCCTTTTCGCCTTACGGTGCCCACTTAGGGTTTTCACCAATAAGACTCTCTCATTTTTATTTCTTTTTACTCACATTTGTCTTATGGTGCCCATTTAGGAGTTTTACCTACCTTTAACCAACTTATTCTCGACATACCAAGGGCTGATGCAAAGACTTTTTTTTGACTTTAGATGATGAGGTTGATTTTGAGCTGTGAGATGAGAGACCGAATAAATAAACAAACGACTTTTGCCCCAGTATACTACAATATGAATTTTTGGATTTGTATTTGGTTGAACCGAACCCAATATTAGGGCTGCCTACGTATCTTGCCAAAACAAGAATCAGGTCAAACGTAGTTCAGGCAATTTGTTTTTTTTGTTTTTTTCTTTTTTTGGAAAAGTCAAGGACACAACATAACCAAGATATCCCGTTGAATCAACCCTTGAAATATCAAGCTCAAACATAAGGGTTTCTAATGTCGAAACTCAATCATATGTAGTATCTTTTCACAGCATCAGCATTGACGACCGTTTCTGTCACTTTACCTTCTATATCTGCTAAGTAAAGAGCACCATTGGGTAATACCCTTTTAACAACGAATGGTCCTCTCCAATTTGGAGAAAATTTGCCTTTGGTTTCAGCATGATGTGGCAAAATGCGTCTCAACACTAATTGACCCTCTTCAAAATGTCTGGGATGCACCTTTTTGTTGTATGCCCGTGCCATTCTTTTATGATATAATTGTCCATGACATACTGATGTCAGACACTTCTCATCAATCAAACTTAATTGCTCTAAGCGAGTTTTGATCCATTCATCATCATCAATTTCAGCCTCCACAATGATTCGTAAAGATGGGATCTCAATCTCTGCAGGTATAACTGCTTCAGTCCCGTATACCAGTGAATATGGGGTAGCACCCACTGACGTATGGACTGTAGTGCGATAACCCAACAAAGCAAAAGGCAACTTTTCATGCCATTGTCGAGAACTTTGCACCATCTTACGAAGTATCTTTTTTATATTTTTGTTTGCAGCTTCTACAGCCCCGTTTGCCTTTGGGCGATACGGAGTCGAATTTCGATGCTCATTCTTAAATCGGTAGCATACCTCTTGCATTAAGTGGCTGTTGAGATTTGCGGCATTGTCAGTTATAATCTTCTTTGGAATACCAAAACGACAGATGATGTTAAAATGGATGAAATCCACCACGACCTTCTTGGTCACTGATTTGAAAGTTACTGCTTCCACCCCTTTGTAAAATAATCAATGGCCACCAAGATGAACCTGTGCCATTCGATGCTTTTGGTTCTATCGGTCCAATCACATCCATTCCCCATGCCACAAAAGGCCAAGGAGCCGACATTGCATGCAACTCAGAAGGGGGAGAATGTATTAAATCACCATGTATTTGACATTCATGACATTTACGAACAAATCGTATGGAATCCCGCTCCATGGTGAGCCAATAATATCCTGCTCGAAGTATTTTCTTGGCTAGAACATATCCATTCATATGAGGTCCACAAACTCCTGAGTGTACTTCAATCATGATTGTGGAAGCCTCTTGAGCATTTACACACCTTAGAAGACCTAAATCGGGTGTCTTCTTGTACAGTATGCCTCCGCTTAAGAAAAAACCCCTTGCTAGTCGTCGAATAGACCTTTTTTGATTACTAGTTACATCTGACGGACATTCTCCAGACTGAAGATAAGTTTTGATATCATGAAACCAAGGCTTACCATCAAATTCCTCCTCAATCATGTTGCAATAGGCATGTTGATCACGAATTTGTATGTATAAAGGGTCGATATGGGCGTCATCAGGGTATTGGAGCATCGAAGACAAAGTGGCCAATGCATCTGCAATCTCATTGTGCATTCTGGGAATGTGTCTAAACTTTATCGACATGAATCGTTGACAAAGACCTTGTAAACAATGTTGATATGGTATCAGCTTTGGGTCTCGAGTTTCCCATTCTCCTTGAATTTGATGAACTAGTAAGTCTGAGTCTCCTAACACTAACAAATTTTGGATGCCCATGTCAACAGCTAACCTCAGACCCAAAATGCACGCTTTGTACTCAGACATATTATTAGTACAATAGAATCTAAGTTGGGCTGATATAGGGTAATATTCCCCTGATTCAGACATAAGAACAGCTCCTATTCCAACTCCTTTCCTGTTAGACGCACCATCAAAGAATAACTTCCAACCTTGATCGTTATCGTGAATAACTTCATCGATACAAGATATCTCTTCATCTAGAAAATAGGTTTTAAGCGGTTCATATTCGTCATCAATAGGGTTCTCTGCCAAATGATCTGCCAATGCTTGAGCTTTCATTGCGGTCCGCGTTATATAGATAATGTCAAACTCTGTGAGAAATATTTGCCATTTCGCAAGCTTGCCTGTGGGCATGGGCTTTTGAAAAATATATTTCAACGGATCCATACGAGAAATGAGATAAGTAGTGTAAGACGAAAGATAATGTTTCAACTTCTGTGCTACCCAAGTTAGGGCACAACACGTTCTTTCAAGAAGGGTATACTTTGCTTCGTAAACGGTAAATTTCTTGCTGAAATATAGCGCCATAATCATTATGGTGTTCATTTGGAAGTTTACACCGATCACAAGATTTTACAGTATACGTTTAGTAAGAATGAGATTAATCTCATACAAAGAGAGTGGTCATGGTTACTAAAATATTATTACATGAGTATTCTTTATCACCAAGGTAAGACTAGTATTGTTGTTGATGCATTGAGTAGGTTGCCTATGGGTAGTATCGCTCATTTTGAGAAAGGTAAGAAACAGTTAGCAGAAATATATACATAGACTTGCATGGTTAGGATTCAGACTTGTGGATTCTACAGAAGGAGGAATAGTGGTGACGAATGGGGCTGAGTCATTATTAGTGTTAGAAGCAAAAGGAAAGAAAGACCAAGATCCCATTAGACTTTGTGTACCAATGATGGTAAGACTCCAAAAAAGGATCATGGAGAAAGCTCATAGCTCTAGATATTCCATTCATCCAGGTTCTACGAAAATGTATCGTGATTTGAGAGAAGTATATTGGTGGAATATTATGAAAAAGGGCATTGCAAACTTTGTTTCTAAGTACCAAAATTGCCAACAAGTTAAAATAGAGCACGAAAGGACCGATTATTTGGCTCAGAAAATAGAACTTCCAGAAGGAATGTGGGATATGATTAAAATGGATTTCATCTCAGGTTTACCAAGGTCTTGTAGACAACATGATTCTATTTGGGTGATTGCCGACAAAATGACAAAATCAACCCATTTTCTGTCGGTAAAGACTACACATTCAGTAGAAGATTGTGTCAAGTCATATATTCATGAGTTGGTAAGACTTCATGGGGTTTCGATCTCCATTGTTTCAGATAGAGGTGTGCAATTTACTGCATAGTTTTGGAAGTCATTCCAAAAAGGCTTGGGTTCCAAGGTAAACTTAAGTATTGCCTTTCATCCTCAGACAGATGGGCATGCAGAGCGCACTACTGAGACCTTAGAAGATATGTTGAGGGCATGTGTGTTCTATTTAAAAGGGAATTCATTTGATCACCTACCTTTTATTGAGTTATCATACAACAACAGTTACCACTCTAGCACCGAAATGACTCCCTATGAAGCTCTTTATGGGATATCCTTTTGGATGATTTGAAGTTGGTGAAACAGCGTTGATAGGACCAAAATTAGTTTATCAAGATATGGATAAAATGAAAGTCATTCAAGAGAGATCGGAAACAATACAGAGTTAGAGTTTAAGGTAAATGATTGAGTTACTTGAAAGTTCCACCCATGAAGGGTATTATGAGGCTCGGTAAGAAGGGGAAACTTAGTCCTAGGTATGTTGGTCCTTATAGTTTCCAAAAGGATTGTTAAGGTAGCTTATGAGTTAGGGCTACCCTTAGCAGCAGTCCATCCGGTGTTTCACATCCCCGTGTTGAAGAAGTGCATGGGACATATCTCACTTATCATACCAACTGAGGATATTGGAATCAAGGATAGCTTGTCTTATGAGGAAGTTCCACTTCAAAATCTAGATCGCCAAGTTCACAAGTTGAGAACAAAGGAAGTATCATCAAGTCAAAGTTCTATGAAGAAATCAGTTTGTAGGGAAGTTACTTGAAAAGATAAAAGAGGATATGCACAAGATATATTCACGTCTCTTTGATTCCAGAGAAAACTTCAGACCAATGTACTAATTTTCTTCTTTGTACTCCTTAAATTATGAGTGAGCATGTTGATTTTTGCATTTGCTTGTTGAGTGTTTGAACTAGATGTTATACCCTTAGATTAGTAAGAGTAATATCATTCGAGGACGAAAGTTTCCAAGGGGGAGATATTGGAATATCTCACAATTTGAAATACCTAACAACTAAAAATAGTCATTTTTGGAATAAATTAAAAATATGGAAAGTTACTTAAGTTAGGAAAATATAAGTTTTTGGTCAACTTCAAATGGTGATAACTCCTAGATCAGGATGATTTCAGTGTATTTGCAAATATTATTGGAAATCTCTATGAATGATCTTTCCAATGACGCCGAGTTTGCGTGATTCCGAGTTTGTATGAGTGAGTTAAGACCTCTGGAAGTTGGACGGTTGGAATAAGGAAAGTCCAATCCAAATTTTTAATGAGTAGTTTGGTCTTTTCCTTACTCAATTATTTTATTTCATTTTTGGGTAATAATTGGGGTCTAAATTGATCTTAGTTAGTTTACACTTTTTGGAAAAAGAGTTTAGGGTTTTTTAGAGAAGAGAAAAGAAGAGGAGAAAATAGGAGGAAGAAAAAGAACATTCAAGATCTGTCAAGATTATCGTGATTTGCTTGTGGATTTCATCAAGGGTGATCTCTACAAGGTTTGTGAGATCACATAGTGATGACCTACTTCTCCCTTGCGCCAATGACTGAATTCAGCAAAATATGTTTGATTTGAAAGTAAATTTCTCGAGTTTTTGATGATATTCGTTTGAATTCTTGTGGGTTGTGTTGTTGAAATAGCTGGAGATTTATTCACATTTTTACTACTATTTTTGAGTAAAATCTGATGTACGTTGATGGTTTGATCGATTCTCAGTGTTGGGAAAAATAACCCATTGAGTTTAGGGGGTTAAGAGCTAAAGAACAAAGAAGAAATTTCATTGAGATATTTGACATTTGTAGCGTGTCGCGCTACCACCTCCAAGATTTGAAAATTTCTGCTTCACGTTGTGGAGCTGACATGGAGTGTTCTTCCTCTAAAGTCATTTTTGAAACCAAATTTTAAATGCTTCTCTGCGTCGCGGAATCACTCTCGAATATTAGTTTTCGGTCTTTTGTCATGTTTATCTATCTAAAAATATTGCTAAACAACATGAGATCTTTCCAAACACAAATCATAACCCTTGAATACATAATCTAATTTAAGGATCAATTAAGATTCAAGTCAAGAGTAGTTAAGAATGAAAGTCAAGAAAACTCAAGAGTCAAGTTAAGATAAGTTCTCAAGTTTTCAAAAGTCTTTCACAAATGCTTTAGTTTTGTTTTAAGACTTAAGCTTTGAGTTCAGTAGAAAGTAAAATTGAAGTTCTTTTCCTTAAAGAAGCATATGGGGACTAAGTATTTCCCAATGAACGAAGATTGAGATCTCCAAAGAGCTTTTAGACTAGTATTCAGAAATGAGTAATCACTTTCTAAATAAAGTAAGAGGGGAAAGTGAGATTTTCAAGATAGCCTTTGAGGTATGTTTTTGAGAAATGATCTCAAATCACAGAAGAAGTATAATGTATTATTTTTGGGAATAGTGTTGAGAACCGATATGGGAAGAGTTCAAACAACTATCAGCCCCCATAAACCATGTAGCTATATGGGTTGTAAACTATCATACTTTTTAGATGAATTATTTTCGCATAGACTAGTGGTTCCACTTAGTATTTCAAGTCATATACGTTTGGTCGGGTATAGGATGCGCAAGCACTATGAGGTAAATCATTTT